TTTTATTTCATTTTAAAAAAAAACTGATTATTTTTCAAGATAATGAAGTCACTTACCTAAAATATTTGAGAGGAAGCTTCCGATAAAATTTCGGCTAGAGAGAAAAAGAGCTCACTGCGTTTCGACTAGAGAGAGAGATCTCAAAATTTTCTAGGGTGGGAGTCCTCACTTCTCCTATTTAAATTCTTACGACACCTTATTATATTCTTTTATTAAGTTACACCTCACACATGAGGTATAACGGTTATATTACATCTTAAACGCTTAAAGCCCACGTCTACTAAAGGACGTAGCAAGAGCAAAAGCTTAAATCAGGTAAAAGCTTTTGAAAGGAGTGATAGTTCCTAAAAGCTTTTAAAAGTTTCTTTTCTTCTTTTTTTTTTTTTTTTTTTAAAAAAAATTAATTTGGATTATTACAGCGCACCTCAAAAATTTCACTAGAAGAGGTTGTTTTGATGCCCAAATAGGCCTCAAATTAATCATCTTGACTTGAGTTTTCATAGATCTGCTCGATCTACACTATTTTTTAAGTTTTAAATTTTATAATTTAAAATAAACATATATTTTAAGGTTATCACAAAGATTTCCAGTATTAAAACTACATTTCTCGACACTATTGGAAGGTGTATTCTACTTTGATTGTTTAGAGCCTCAGCTCCATACAAAATGCACCTTTTACTAAATGTACTCAATATTTTATAACACTAATTACCCCTTATTTTGTAGTACAAATTTTTTAAAACAAAATATTTTTCCTTGTAAAAAGGGATAAAATAGATAATTCTATAAGTATTTAGTGGCATTTAATACACATATGGTTGATATCACACTCTATGTGGACTACATCATTCTCCACTATAATTAATAAATATTGTTCTTTCTAACATGGATTTTTATTTTCTTATTGAATAATTACCTAAAATATCCCTAGACAAAAAATTACTACATAATAGAGTAAGGGTATCAAATATCCAAAAATATCAAATATACTAAGTAAAGGAAATAATTTATATAGACCCGAGGCTCTAAACAATCAAATTAAAGCTCACCTCAAAAATTTCACTCGAAGAGGCTGTTTTGATGCCCAAATATTCTCAAATTGATCATCTCGACATCAAGATGCATGGACATGAGGAAAAAAATGGATTCGAAGCTTTGAAAATAGTGCTTCTTATAACATATTTGTGGATCGTCAATTTTCAAGATTTTCAAGTTTTCATAGATATAATCTATCTACACTATTTTTGAAGATTTAAATTTTATACTTAAAGATGAAAATATATTTTAAGGCTATTACCAAGATTTCCAGTATTGAAACCATATTGATCAACACTATTTGAAGGTACGTTTTACTTTGATTGTTTAGAACCTCGGCTCTATACGAACCGTACCCTCAAGTAAATCCTCACGTGTATAAGTACCCTAACATAACACATCCTCAAAAGTCTACAAATACATCAATCCTTACGCCCAATAATATCATTAGCTGCACATTGAGTTGAAAAAATACAGAAAATAAGCCTAATAAATTTCGAAACATTGGAAGAGAAAGGGCCTCTTAAGTTAGAAATATTGAGAGAGAATGAGAAGAAAAGGAGATTCAAAAGTGCATGTCTCCAACCGAATGCAATCCATAGGTGCCCTCATTTATTTTCGCTCTTCAAAAGTCTACAAATACATTAATCCTTAGTCCCAATAGAACCACTAGCTGCACATTGGCTCTAAAGACTACAGAAAAGACACCTTCTCAAATTAGAAAACAAGCTCTAAAGACTACAGAAAAGACACCTTCTCAAATTAGAAAACAAGAGTGAGAGGGAGAGGGGTTGGGGTTGCGGTGGTAGCAACCTACACCGTAGTCACTATATTGTGGTTTTCGTTCCACCACTACTCCTAAACTATTTGGAAAAAATAGATGAAAGCCTGTCTATCCCACTGAATTATCAAAACAACAAAGAAAAAAAAAACAAAGAGATAGAAATCAGCCAAGGTGATTCAGAAATGGAAATGATAGAACCATAAATAACAAAGACATGACAAACAAAAATAAAGAGGAAGGAAACAGAGGCTAATAGAAAAGATTCCATTGTAGAATCAGGTGATTCGTACAATAATGTAAAGGATCAAAAGGTTGGTAAAAGGGTGTAAGTGGGAGCATTATTTTGTGGGTTTTTTTTCTTTTTTTGGTGGGGTGTCAAATGATTTTTTTTTTTTTTTGTTTCAAATGAAAGAAAATAATCTTATGGTAATAATCTCAAACCTCAGCGAAAGTTACACAAGCATACATCTTGAGAAAGATGTTGATCAACAGAGAGAATATTGTTAAGGAGTAAACAAACCTTAAAAAATAATTAAATACTTTAGACAGTAAAAATATCCCAATTAACTTATTTTTAAATTTTCTGCCTCCTAAACTTATGTCTTCCAAATGCTCAAGCAGCACTTGTTTCGAGCTTTATTTGGAGGATTTTAGTATTGGAAAAGTATATAATGAATATCATTTATTTTTTATACAAAGAAACATAATCATAATTGATCGTTAGATTTGAATCGAGTGGCTGGGGATATGTCACTGTTCGGACACAAAGTCCAAACCATGATTAGCACATCCAGAGTACTCCACTTATTCAATTGGGCTTCTTGGGTAAGCCAAATTACAAAAATATCCCATGTCCTTGAATATATGCAATTTGAATATTTTTATAATGCTTTTTGAGGAGGTGTACACTCTAATGTTAATTGGGATGATTTTAAAAGACAAAACGGAACCAAAAAGCTAAATTGACAGATTAGACTTCAAATTCTGAGGGACACATGCTCCATGGAATCATTTGCTGAGCGCATTTGTGTGTGTGAATGAAAAAGAGGGCCAAGACAATCGTTTCAAGGAACTGGATGACATTTCATCCTCACAAATCACTGAAGATGCCCAAGGAAACGTTGGGCTAGAGGTGGTAATGGACCAAACGTTGGGCCAGGTATGGGTCTAAAATTTGGACATGGCAGGTTGGATCCAAGTTCAAAACTTGGGCCAGGTATGGGTCTAAAATTTGGACATGGCAGGTTGGATCCAAGTTTAAAACTTGGACCAGAATACTATTTGAGTTTGGATCCAAGTTCATATGGACCCGATCCGAATAGTGTTATAATTTAAATAATAGTTAATGGAAAAGTCTTAAGAACGCCTATATGCGAATTGCTACAGTGTTTCACCATCATCACGAGCATGCTATATCCGTGACGGTTTTGCTTAAAAAACACCACGGACCTACATGAACCGTGGCGATCTCTGTACATTTTTCATGTCAATTTTGCATGAAAAAAGAATCTCGTCACGGACATGTTATATCCATGACAAACCGCCACAAACATGCTATGTCCATAACGGTCTTTAATCCATGCCATCCAAAAAAATCGGACGGTGCCGAGCCTATTGGTGAAAATACTGTTTATTTTTGCCCATACGCGTTTTGAGTCTCTCCTATAGTTAATATATAATATTTGAATAAATATAATTATATTTTTTGATAGCTAATATAACTATATATTTTTAATCATAGTATTCAACTAATACATGTATATTCAACATAACATTAAAATATATTTAAGTTTATTATTTTATTTTATTAGGTCAAGTCGAGTAGGGTCATGTCCGGACCAGTTGCCACCCCTACAGTGGGCACGCTACAATGGAGCACACTTTATGGGAGGGAAGTAAAAAAAAAGCACACAAAAGCCTAACCATCAGAGATGGCTTCAATCATTAAGGACTTCAACAATATTATGTAGATTGGAACCTGGAATGCAGCATCTCAATGACAACATGGTTACCAATCCAACAAATAATCCCAAACTTAAATATTGTAGCAACTTTAACGTCAGCAATTCTGCCCATATAAACATGGGCTAAGCCATGTATTAGCCCAAAAAACTGAAGCATCCGAGTGTACTCCGCTGAGTACTCTACGGGGCGAAAACCTTTTAAAATTAAAAGAAAAATAAAATATTTAAAATAAAATAGAGTGAAGGTCAAATAGAGTAAATAAAATAAATAGAGTAAAGGTCAAATAGAACAAAAAATAACCTAAAAAATCCAAATAAGCTTACAAAGTATATGAAACATGGGTTTTAAGAAAATGATTTATAATTGGGGACATTTAAAAAGAAAAAGAAAATATAAAAATAGGGCACATGGCAAAAAAAAGAACTTGCCAATAACATCCAAATTATAAATAAGAATTTTATAGATCAATCCCATATTTTTATATATTTTTTTAGGATATTTTCTTTTTGTAATATACCCCGAGTTGTACCGAGTAACTCGGTTTGCCAAGGGGGCAGGTCCGAATAACTCGGTAATGGACTTGGCCAAGTCCCAAAATGCTGCATTCAATTATGAGTTCAAGTACCAACCAAATACCCCATTTAGGGTGAAAATGGCAGGACTGGAACTGCAAATGGGCCGTGCTCAAGCCCGTCTATGATTGGCTTTGCCTCGACCCAACTTCTACAGCAAGGCCCAAAACATTAAAACTCGGGCTAGGAGCCAGCCTGCCCCTTGGGCCTCATATAGATGCCTGAGCCCAGCTCGTAGGCCACCAGGCTGCCCAGTCTGATTGGCAGCCCTACACTGCTAATAAGATGGCTGTAGTCTGGCTAGGCTTGGTCCATGCGTGAGCCGAGCTTCTGTAGACAGTCCAGGCGTGAATGACTTAAGCTAGGTCTAAGTCTGAGCTCGATCCACAGGCTTCAATGCCTAAGCTCGCGTACAGGCCAGCCCAGCCCAGCCCAGCCCAGCCCAGCCCTCTTGCAAGGTGAGGAACTAAACTTCCCATGGACATTAAACTCTGATAAGGCTGCATAAGAAACAACAGATACTGTTCCCCAATTGGAAAGATTCAATAAGTACAAGGTTCATTTCTTCGCAAGGCAACAACAAATGCAGTTTAAGATCAACAGAGTGACCAAGACATTCTTTAATTAATTAAATAAGAAATCAGGAACAAAATTTGATTTCCATAAGAGAATAGGAAGATGTGTTAGGTCCCCAATATTTACAAGCATCAAAGATGGAGCCTATACTAGCGACTCCAAATCAATGGAAGAAAAAAAAATATACCATAAGAAATGCCCAAGTTGTGCTGAACAGCCCCTACAGATCAGTTCTAAGTTGATCAAACAACTACTATCTTGACCTCAAGCTGCTCCCACCAGCCAGATTGGTTATAGCTTTCTTAGAACACATTATTCAGATATATGTGGATAGAATAAAAATTGAGTAAAAAAGGTGTACCTCAAGCTGAATAGAAATATCTACATGCTGTAAGCAGTTTAACTTGCAAAGTTTGAGCACTGCAAACTCAACATTATCAAATTTTCCTTCCCTTGTTTATTTTGAAGAATTGATAGAGCAACCTGTGAACTTCCCCAAAGTTTGCCGTGGTGGAAACCAGACGATCTTTTATCCACAATGGGAGCTTACTAGATGGGTCAGCAAAACTTCTTTTGGAGGGAAGAGATGAATAACGTGAATCAACCAGTAAGATTGCAGCATAATCGTTAACGTGCCGGATCACTCTGCCTGCAAAGAAGAATTTTAGGAAAGATGCAACACAGATAGGCAATCAATGAAGAAAAAGTGCTATTAATAGGAGATTAAATGATGTAGCATTTCTTTTCTTCCAAAAACCCATAAATTAGAAAAACTAAAGGAAAAAGTTCCAATGAATAGGTGATAAGATGATGCAGGATTTCTTTTCTCAAGAGTCGCATACCAATAGATTGATTTACTGCCTTCATACACAAGTTTTCATAGTACTCTCTTCCTCTATTTTTGCAACACTTCAAAATTTGAAATCCAGCTTCACTAGGTGTTTCACAGTAGATATGGTTGCCAACGCATTGTGATTTGGGTTTTCCCAATCCTTCAATATGCTTGATTCTTTCAATCAGCTCAATATTGGAAGGGCTCGGATATGGAAGTCCTACCATAACCACACAGCGACCCATTCCATCACTGAAGTTTATTCCTTCTGATACCTTTCCTCCAACCACTGCTAAAAGCAGGGCACCATGGCTTTGTGCTGAATTGTCAATGGATACAAGTATGGCTTCTTGGTATTCCTTAAGAACAGACTCAACTTCTACACTATTTCTAGGCTCTCTGAAGACACGCTTTCTCTTCTGAATTCTTGCCATGATGCCAGAAGCCTTCCAAGATTCATGAACTTGCTTTTCATACTCGAATGATGAAAAGAACACCACGATACCTTCTGGCACCACAGTTACTAAATTGCAGATTAGGTATCCAAGCTCCTCCATCTGTAGCATTACCAAAATTTTCAACTTAGTCTGCCACAACTTTGCAACCTAACAAGACATTAAAAGCCTGTACTCAGGCTCGGACTCGGTAGTGTCCAAACCTGAGCTGGCAGTGAGACTCAACCAAGCATCTGGGAAATATATAAAGAAATCTGTGACCTAGTGAGACTTGCTTGTGTCTAAGGGTTATTTATGCCGGGTCTGAGTGACTCAGTCAACTCTGAGCCTGAGTCACCAATTTTCCTTTTAGCAAGAACAGTTTGAGGACTGGAGATTTTTAGGGAATTCCTTGCAACTAACCCATGATTCGTTATTTAAAAAAAAAAAAATTAAGAGAGAGAGAGGGAGGGAGAGATTTTTGGATGAACAAAACTGCTCGCAACTTTTGAACAAACAATTGTGTATATAGTCCAGGGACGTGTCCCAAGAGAAAATAAAATTGAAGTTCGTGCATGTTTCTTTCCCCGAAAACTCAGTGATCAAGGAGGAATGAAAAACCAAACTACATGAGAAAGTTTGGAGGGGAGCTTCCTGGTAGGCACAATTCAAAGGTGACAGCATTATAAAAGAAGATCCTTATTACGCACATTATTCCAGTAAGATCAATGAGACCATGGACCTGTATGACGCTAACTTTCATGGTTTCGTTGTGTATGCAAAATGCAATTATAGAACACAAAGAACCTCCTCATATTTAACTCTAATATGAGATCATATCATCACACTTGCCATGACACCAGTATAATCATAAGGGAGATATGTTAAGCTTACCGTGCCTGGAGAGCTTCGATAGTGGTAGCTAAAATCAAATTTCTTTCCTGTGGGCCCGCATGAAACTGCAATGGGCAAAATACTCTCTGGAGGAACAATATGGTTGCACGAAAATAAGTGCAACCGCTCCATAGGCAAGCACGGGAACAAGCGATCCACTGTCTCCTCTGTAGGCTGCAGTGTTCCTCCAGCTAGTACAACAGCATGTGCTTGATCTACAATCTGCAAGTGTTCCAGCAAATCAATTAATTTTCAGAAGATGCATATAAATGCATATATGCATATAAACTTATTTGTACAAGATGCACATATATGTGTTCTGGAATATGAAAAAGATCGAGCATAGGCCGTGAGCACCTCAGAGAAAATCTTCTCTCCAGCAAGCATAACAAATTTCAGGGATCCCTCTTTCTTTGAGACAATGATTCTTCCATCGGTATCATCATTTGTCAGTGCAAACATGAAGTCCACAAATGCTTGAAATGCAGATACTATGCTCCCTTCAACACCAACACTCCTATCGTCAATGGCGGATGATTGTGGAGACCCATTTGCCAAAATATTAAGTTTAGCTCCATAGCCACTGACCTGAGAAAATAAGCATATTAAGCCTGTAGCTTAAAAAAAATAAATCATTAAACCTTGTAACTGAACAAGTTATTCACCGCACTAATTTCCATACCTTGTGAGTGATGTTGCTCTCCTTAACGTACTCCTTTAACTTGATTAAGTTCACGTTGTCAATTTCAAGAGAAAATAGAAAATCATTTACAGTCACTGAAGAGTTGCACATCTCTGGCTCTTCAGTTTGTTGAGCATCAATTACTTTGCAGTGTTCAACAGAGTTAACTTCTTCTTTGCATATCAGCAACTGGAGTAGAGCCTTTGCAACAACCATTAGAATCTGGATGTATCGCCTATTTCCAGTTCCCAAGCGATTTCGGAACCTTTCAAAGTACATTGTCAGGTGGTACTCTACCTGTTCAAGCTGGACAGATGCAAGTTCAGCGGCTAGTTAGGTCCCAAAAGTAAACCTAATTTCGCCAAATCTCCAGGAAGAAATATTCGAAGAGATGGGGGTCTACATTCTGACCTGAAATTTGGTAACTTTTGAGTTGTACATATTAATGAGAGCATCTGCCAGATTGTGAGCTTCATCTATAATGACAACACTGTTTTTCAAAGTTAAACCAAGCGATTCACGAGCAGACTTCAAGAGAAGAGATTGGTAAGGAAGGACCACTAAATCAGCGGTTCGAACCATGCTCCGAGAGCCATAGTATGGGCATGTTCCAATTTTCTGACCAAGCCTCAGTAGATCTTCAATGTCCATTGCATCACTTTGAGAGATTTCGTTTCTCAATTGCCTCTGAAATTTTTTATGCTTCATCATTGGGCATCCAGAAGACAGTTTGCTCCTCTGGATTTTAACTCCATTGTTGCTGATCTGCAAATGAGATTGAAAGTGTCTCTACTGTTAGGATACAAAATATGCTCCTGATACTATAATATGTAACAGAGATGATCTAAGAAGTATTGAGTGTCATCAAATTCGAATAGGATGAACAAGAAAAATGATAGCATAACATTTTTTAATGATACAAACAAATAGACTATGTTTGAATGCAATACGACCTTTAAAAAAAACAAAATTCACAGAAATACAAAGTTAATGAGATCATGTTCAACAACTGCATTGAAAGCACAATTGGGTCTTTTGTCAAGAGCTCTTTAAGTATATGGTGTTTCTAAATCCAATAGTCTGTAACAGCATTGACAGGAAACCAATGATAAAAAGGATAAAGAACAACTTAATTTCAAGAACAGAAGGACAACCTTGCTTCTGGATTCCTTTGTGGTCTTTCTCCTCTGAAGTTCCATGCATCGCTCGTTAATCCTACCCAAACTTCCCAGCTTCGAAACCTCTTATCGAAAGCAAAAGAAGACAATAAGTTCAATCATTGAAATGAACTGCGTTATATCTGAAGCTATGAAGCACAATGAGCAAAACTAGATCAGAAACTCCTTGTACAAAGGAATAACGGAAAAAACAAGCATGGATATCTACAGAGGATAATCATCAAAGCTTTATTATATATAAAGAGATCTGTATATGCTAACAACTTTTTTAGCAAACACAAAGGCAGGAATCCAAACAAACACGAATCCAGAAGTATAACACCAATATGGAGTTCACAAATAGCGCTCAATCCAGTAGCTTTGCTAACTGAATCAGATAACATGAACATATGGAAATCAAAAAAACAACGGTTGATAAATAATTGTTAGATGAAAATTAATAAACAGTGAATAGTTATGGGAAATATAATAACTACAAACAAATATAATGGCTATGGATAATACCTGCATTTGTGCACAGTGATTTCCTTGAACCCAAACAGATCACTCTTAAAGTAGAAGCGAATACAGTTCTCTGCATCTCTTTGACAAACTGAGAAAGCTGTGAGTGTGTCCTGCTAGAAAAATAAACTTTGAAAACTCCATCTCCCTCCGTTTCTTCTTCTTCGTCATCATCTACTTCTTCATCACTGCTTGATCCAGCAGCCTTCCTTTTCGTGTTCTTATCACCATTTTCATCTGTTTCACTCTTGTATTCATTGACCAAAAACTCCTCATCCTCATCCATTTCCCCAATTGTTGAATTGGAACCCATTTTAATAAGACCTCCCTTTCTCCCACATATGTTGTTATTGCTCTCTATGGGGTTTCTCTGAGTCCTTCTCTCTCTAGAATCCACTGATTTATAGCCAAATGTTGATGATTTCTTCTGAGGTGATTTCTCACCTTTGGGTACAACAAAATTCTTCATCCAATCGGGTTCGTCGTCAAAATTATGCGAGCCCTGATCAATTGCTGTATTGGGTTTCTTCTCTTTTGATCTTTGATCAACAACCCATTGCAGAGCACTGCATATTATACTCAACGTTTTGCCGGTCCCTGCAATTTTTTGGAGAGAGCGGTTAGAGAGAGAAAATATGAGTGGGTTTATTTGTAAGAGCCTTCGCAGAATGGAGAGAGAGAGAGGGAGAAAGAGAAAGAGAAAGAGATAAATTTACCAGTAGGGCTTTCAAGCATGGCGACTCCTCCACTGTCGAGGGCATTGTAGAGTGCCGTCATGAATTGAAGCTGGATTGAGTATGGCTTGAAGGGAAATGCTGGGAATTTGGGAGTCTCCTCCTGCATTTCCATGAAACTCTCTCTCTCTAGGGTGGAAGAGTATGAAATTAAAATTTTGTTATCGCCTCCTTCTCTCTCCCTAAAACAAAAAAAAAGGAAAAGATAGGGAAATTCAAGTTTTTGTTTTCGCTTCCCTCCCCTCAACGGAGAGGAAGACCTGGAAATTGAAGTTCAATTTTTAGGCCCCCCACCCTCTCTCTCTAAAAGAGGGAAGGCAGGGAAAATCGGAGTTTGGTTTTGAGCTCAATCTCTCTCTACAGAGGTGAAGGCATGGAAATTGAACGTTCGCTTCAGCCTCGCTCTCTCTCTCTCTCTCTCTAAGAAGGGAAAATACAAAGTTATGGCCCCCCACCCTCTCTCTGCACTTTCCCGCGCTAATTGTTTTCCCGCCTCCTTGCTCGACACAGTCCAGTCCACACGAGGGACACTTCAACACGAGCGCCATTTTCAGTGTGACGAGGAATGCCCCCCAAATCATGCACCATACGCGTGTGTCAAGACTCAAGAGATTTGGGTCGTTTGGATGCCCCAAACTATTTCCGTTACTCCCGAAATGGAGCCGTGCTCGGTGGCAAAATGTCCTAGAAAGGTAGGGGTGGCAATGGACCCGGACCCAACCCCCGTCCGGGTATGGGTGTAAAAATTGGATCCGGTGGGTTTGGTTCGGGTCTAAATATTGGAAGGTTGGGTTCATATAGATCCGACCCAAATAGTGTTAATATTTAAATAATATATAATATTTAAATAAATAAAGTCATATATTTTTAGTTATAATATTTTAATACGGATGCATCCATAGCCGTAGAGGTAAAGTGCGCCTTCAAACTTTATCATGGTATATAATTTTGATGTAAAATATTCTTAGGATTATCTCAAAATCTATTTTTATATCTAATTATAAAAGTTTAAATTTAAAAAATGGTTAAAATCAAGTAGATCTATAAACATATGAAAATATTGAAAATAGACGGTGTATATAATATATTGTAAAATGCACTATTTATGAGACTTAAAATCTTTTTATTTTTCATAGTCATACATCTCGATGTCGTGATGATCAATCAAAGGGTTTTTCAACATTAAAACTACATTTTTTGATGGATTTTTTAGGTGCATCCGTAGTTCTACATTACAACGTTGCATCCTTATATAAATTTTTTCCTTTAAATAATATTCCGTGTTCTTCAGATCGGCTCAAATTCAATCTGGACTGTTGGGCTTGTACTGTTTCATGAGTTAGTGGGCTCACCCAAACGTTTTCCATATATATATATATGGTGAAGTTTGTATATAGTCGAGGCTGTAAACCATCAAAATAGAGCGTGCCTTCAAATAGTATAAAAAATGTGATTTCCATACTGGAAATCTTTGTGATAGCCTTAAAACATATTTTCATATCTAATTTATAAAATTTAAAGCTTAAAAAATAATGTAGATCGAGCAAATATAAATACATGAAAATCTTGAAAATTGACGTTAAAAAAATGCATTACAAGATGCTCTATTTCCAAAATTTGAATCTCATTTTTTTTCATGTTCATACATCTTGATGTCGAGACTGTCAATTTGATGATATTTGAGCATCAAAAGCATCAAAACAATCTCAATTGAATTTTTTGATATTCGCTCTAATTTGACAGTTTAGAGTCTCGGCTCTATATAATATTTTTTCATATATTTAACATAACATAATATTATTGTTTTATTGGGTCGGGTCCAATCGGGTACCGGGGCCGACCTGACCCGATCCATTTCCATTGCCACCCTTGCAAAAAGGCAACACTCTATGATATATATGCTACAATTTTTCTGATAAAATAACGCACTATTCTTTAATTTTCAAACTTATTTTGCAGTAACCTCTCCAATATTTTGTATTTAGGGGACAATAATTGTCCCTCAAAACTAACAACATACCCCCCTTATCCCCTTCATTTCATTCCATCTTTGACATGAGATTTGATGTCAATGATCTTTATTATTAGTCTTGATGAGAGTATCCTGACATTATTTAGAATCAAAATTAGGGGCTTGAGCTACTATGCAGATTTTGCTCTCTCCCACTTTTTTTTTTAACTAACACAAGACACTTAATTGTGAAGAAAACATAAATTAGAACAATACTTGGACACCATGTTTTTCATTCTCTAAGCTGACTAATTTCCCTTATTTTTTTTTTGCACTGTATATGACTGATAATTATTTTTGGCATTTTCAAATTAATTAGAGATTTTTATTATAAAATTATTTATTTTGATATAAAGAGATCACAATTACTGCAAAATCAAATGGATGAAAGTAAATTGTAATATATACCCATTTTCAACTACTCGATTTCAAAATTTTATTTTCGACTTTGAACTTAAAGAATGTCACATGTTCAACCATTCTATTTCAAATCTAAAGTCAACTTTAAATGAAAAGTAAAAAGGTGCAGTTTGTATAATAACCCGGCTCTAAACAATAAAAGTAAAGTGCATCTTCAAATAGTATTGAGATATGTGGTTTTATTATTGAGAATCTTGATGATAGTCTAAAAATAGTTCTTCAATTTTTAATTATAACTTTAAAAACTTAAAAAATAGTGTAGATCGAGTAGATATATGAAAAATTGAAAATCTTAAAAATGGACAGTAAAAAAATACGTTACAATATGTATTATTTTCAAAACTTGAAATTTATTTTTTTCAAATGTGTATGCATCTTGATGTCGAGACGATCAATTTTAAGATATTTGATCATCAAAACAACCTCTTATAGTAAATTTTTTTATATGGGATGTAATTTTATTGTTTAAACTTTAGAGCCTTGGCTTTTGCTGATTGTGTACATTTTATTTTAAAAATTTAACCATTTTCTTCCTTGAATGGTAAAATATTGTATGCACCTGTAGGTCGGTGAACGTCAGTCCCCATGGTGGCGAAGATAAACGGTCCAGATTCAATTTATGATCACGCATCAACAAATAGGACCCGTTCCATTCGCACGTGACAGCATTCCCTAAAGCCCTAACCCTAACTGTACCCATCCTCATAACTGAGACGGCAACAAATAAAACCCGATCCCCCACGCTCTGAAAATCTTCTTAGCGGCGGAGGAGAAGAGAGAGAAAGAGGGTTGCAGGAGCAGGAGAAGAGAAATGGTAAGAAAGAAAACAAAACTCAATCGAATGCACTTTTCTTGCTCTTTTCACTCGTTAATCCTTGCAGTTTTGTAACGATATTTTTACTTTTGTTTTGATTTATGAGTGTTTTGAATTAGCTGATTGTGTTCTATGGATTTATTGAAGGGTTTACGCAATGGTAGATTTAGCTGAGTGATTTCCATGTATTAGGTTTTTGTTTTGTTTTGAAATCAAGGGCTTATTTTAGGTTTAGGGTTAGATATGCATTAAACTCCCTCTCTGTCTCTACTCTCTCAACCTCGAGCTCTTTATCTACAGCCAGATTAACAATGCATTTCTCATTCTCCCTGCTATTTTCTGCATTTTACGGTGTTTTTAACCTTTTTTCAGTCTCTCTCTCGATCTTTGTTGGGTGAAATGGTTAATTTATTTATGTGTTCTTTATGTATTTAAGGGGAAGGGAACGGGGAGCTTTGGCAAGAGGAGGAATAAGACCCACACACTGTGTGTGAGGTGTGGGCGCAGGAGCTTCCATCTCCAGAAGAGCAGGTGTTCCGCCTGTGCTTACCCAGCTGCCCGTATTCGCAAATGTAAATCTTTCTCTCTCTCTCTCTCTATCCCTAAGTTTGGGACTTAGGCTAAGTATTTCTGTCTCTAATCTGCTTTCTTCCACTTACAATAAGTGCAAATCGTGTTTCTGTAACTATGTCATCACTGCATCTCTCTCAAAGATTAGGGTTTATAGTTACATATGATTCACTGTTTCGATATTTTCCTAACCTCTAGTTCTTAATCGTCAAGCGCATCACCACCGCATTCCTCATTATCCTCCAATTTTCTGCATTTGAGGCCTCAGCATTCATTTGTTCTCTCTTATCTTTCTAAGATCAGGGTTTAGGCTATGTATTTCTCTCTCTCTCTTTCTCCTTTCTCTTACAAGTATGAATTTTGTGCTATAACTAGATTATGACTGCATCTTTCCATGTCCATCTTAAAGCTTGCATTTTATGATTACATATGATTTAATATCAATGTATTCCCTCAATCTCTTCTTTACCAACAACCTGACTATCGCTGCATGTCCATTTATTCTTGATTTTCTGCATTTGAGTTGTTAATATTCATTCTCTCCTCTTCCTCTCTCTCACTGAATTTAGGGATTAGTATACTCCCAGAAGTGGGAAACCTTTTTTAAGGTTTATGGTTATATGCATTGATTTCTCTCTCACTAGACAACCAAATTATCACTGTATTTCTAATTCTCCTTATTTTTCTGCATTTTGTGGGGCTACTCGACATTTATTTCACTCTCTGCATCCAGTTTTGTCTGAAATTTTGTCAGGCTCCTTTTTGGTATTGACGTTAGAATAATGTGAGCAGATAACTGGAGTGTGAAGGCGATAAGGAGGAAGACGACAGGGACTGGAAGGATGAGGTACCTCCGTCATATGCCTCGGCGCTTCAAGAGCAACTTCAGAGAAGGTAACTCACCAAACCCTAGTTTTCTTTGCGCGTTATATTTCTCATTCCACGGCTGCTTCTGTTATCTTAACCTTGCATTTTGAGTACTTTACAGTGATTCTGGATTTTTATAGAATGCTCATTGCTAAATTGCTAAGGAATCTAATTGTTCGATTTTTTTCTCTCTGTATTTTATCACCAGGAACTGAAGCAGCTCCTAGGAAGAAGATCGCTGCTGCTTCATTTTGAGCAACACCCCAATCATGGTCTTTGTGTCAACCGAGTGTTTTCAAATTTTGTTGCATTTTGTTCTCAACATATGCTACTTTGATTCTGGTTTTTCTTCGAAGACTATCGTGCTCCTCAGGAATTTACTTGTTAATTTTCCCTGCGGAGTGCTTGATATCCATAGGGAGTAGTTTTCATGGACAATTTGAACTTATCATTATGGTTGAAAATGTGGAATTTCAATAGGTGCCTATTAATCATTGAGTATCTTTTGCCAATATTTGTGCATATTAGTTATATTTGCTTTCATATATGCAGTTATTGTTTGGCACTTAATTCATCATGTGGTGCACTATAGCAGAATATATGTACATATATATTTTGAGGTTTAAAACTTGTTGATATCTTGTGATGATAATATCAACATCTACAGTTCTCAAACATCCACTGTGGTATCAATCAAATTCATGAAGTGTATTTGGCAATTAGGACTGGACTTCTCTTTTGGAGCTAAACATGCTTATTTTTGCTGTAATATAATGAGATCTCGTACTTTAGTTTCCATATGCACATGCTAGTATTTACTTATCGTAACTATAGATTTTTGTTACTTGTATATTACTAGTAACAACTCTAGGCTGCCCATTGTTTGTCACTACTGGTAGTAAGGCTTATTTGTGAATTGCTAACACGTAGTGTGTCTCTGAAATATGTGATAAAACACTGAAGTTTTATGATTTTAAGAATTCTATGAACATCCTCATATGGAGGCTAATGGTGGTTATAGGTGAGAGCAAACAATCACCATTCCCTAGTTTGAGTTTGGGTAGCTAAGAGATAACAATGAGAATTTCCTTTATTTAAAGGGATTATCTTTCTAACAATTATAATCTTAGCTGTGTGGAGGAAGATATATATTTTAATGTGGATCATGAGGTGCTATTTTTAAGTTTGATGTGAATTGTGTGGATGAAGCTCTAGCAGTCAGTGCCAATGAAATGGTCAGTATTCATTCAATTTGATCATTCATAACTTGTTCTACTAGTGTTATGGTATTACTTATGAAAATTTGGGAAATTGAGAATCTGGCATTATGATAAATGCCTTCATGTAGTTCACTATTTTTTGGCCTATAAAAAAGCAGGAGAATGAAGGTAAAATCCTGTCTTACTATATGTAGATTCAATTTAGGATTAAAAAAGAAAAGAAAAAGAAGTTGAGAATCATGGATATTATTTGTGCCAACAAAGACATGGAGATGATTTTGTAGTATTAAAGGTTATCTAGAATCAGGCATGTGTAACTGACTCCAATTAGTTGGAACGAAAGGTTTAACTGGAAATACTAGGGGTTTTGGATTTCCTAGTAACTACTCTTTACAATAAATATTGGTGCCTTTTAAAGGTTGTTGATCAACTGTGTTACCTGGACACGGACATGGGTGGTGGAATCTGATGTGTGCTCAAGTGTCTAGTACTTGTCCAAAAATGTCAATACAGAAAGACATGTTCATATGATTGTTAGTTTATCATAAATTAATAGAATTTTAGTACATACATGCAGACACATCATAAATAGTATGCTTGGATGTGGTTTATGTGGTTCGCCCGTTGGTAAACCACACAAACTTGGCATAAGACATCTTGGGATCAAACCCTATTCTTGTCCTTTACGCATTTTATTTTTATATCCTTGCATCAGGAAGTGTGGACACGGTGTCCAAGTGTCAACTTTTTTACTCTCAATAGTCAATACTTCAAGAATGAAGCGTTTGGGTATATAAAGAATTATCCGGTGGTTATGCTTGGAAATGGTTGCTCATGTACAGCAGTACATTCTTGGTAATGGTTTTTTTCAAATAGCCCTAGATTCTTGTGAATGTGGTTGGAGATTTAATGACTAAAGATTTTGCATATTTCTTGAACAATTGAAGTAAACTGTAAAACAATGGTGACACTATGATTGCATGAAGTAGAGTTTATGAGCCTCCAGACTTGTATACCCTTTGATAATCAGAGCGCTTTTGGTACTTTAAGGTCATGCATTTGAAGTACTATGCCCTTAGGGGCTGAGAAGCATTCCTTTGGATAAAAGGTAATTGCATGTTGGTGGTCCTAGTAAAGACGTTTCTTCTATTCTATTGAAAACTGAATCTTAGGAAACACACCATTCAAAGGCTTGTTTGGACTGGTTGGCAACTCCAGAGCAAGCTAGTTGTGCTTGATGGATTTGATCACTGAGATACATGGAACGTTTTGACATGCATACTTAGAAAATATTATTCGGAATTGGGAGATATTGTGGATGGGTGTTTGTAATGGTAAAGGTTAGTTTAGTTCTTATTAATTGTGAATTATGATACCCAGACACTTGGATGCTAGGTCAACAACTTCCAAACACAGGGATATTACGAAACATGTAAAGCACAAAGCACAAAGGTGTGGTTTGAACCGAAAACGTATTGTGCCAAATTCTTGTGGTCTATCTACCTTAACACATCTAAGTGTATGCCATCTATGCATTAAAAATCTATAGATTTATTATAAAATAATAATCATACTAACCTGTCTTTTCATGTTGGTTTTTTAAGTTGAAGCACTAGACATGCATTTGATTTGTACACTGCGGGCGGTGTCTAGGTAAACATAGACTCTCATTCATTGTGAAGTGGGGTGATTATTTTCTCTGATGCCAAGTGTGCGTGTCTGAGAGAGAGAGATTTTACATGAAGAGAACTAATCTTATATCGATTACAATCTAGGATTATATAGCTTTTCTTGATCCTGAAGCATGTGGACCTGACCATCAAGCAATGTGGATCTCAGCCATTGCTTAGGTGGGAGCTACACCTTGACTTATGGAATGCCAAATCAGCCTGGCTTAAAAGTTTGAAAACTTTTGCAACATCTTTTTTCACCTATATTAAAGCCATAGTCAAGGGTAGGACGGAGAGCCTATAAAGTTAAAGTTTAGGGTAACTTCAAACCAATTCATATCTTACAGTGTAGTCGTTTATATGAAAATTAATTGAAATCTCTAGTACTAGGATATATTAAGGAAACTCTTCCTTACAGTGTATTCGTTTATATGAAAATTAATTGAAAATCTCTAGTACTAGGATATATTAAGGAAACTCTTCTTTTAATAAATACAAACCTAGGAGTAAATATTTTGGTTGAATAAACAAAATAGGTGATTATCTCTGCTGGAAATTGTTGCTTTGATGGGAAATCACCAAATTTGAGAGTTTTTGCTTTTTATTTTCTTTTTTTTTTTAAAAAATATCTCTCATGCGTTTGTAGCGGATAGTAATTTAGATGTGCGTTAGACAGGCCTCTTGCTATTTTATATGAAGTTGCAGTATGCTATGCCTTATTGGCCATGCTTGTTTAATATACTTCCTTAGCTACCCCATCCAATTAAATGCCTACGTATCTCTTTTTATTTGATACTTGGTTCAATCAAGTACTCTCTCTTTTCGCATCATACTTTAAGTATGAAGTAGGTACCATTTGAACTTGATCATGGAAGTGGTTTATTATGATATTTTTTACAGGAAACTGTATCTGCATTTTGGTTTTTTGGTGCCAAATTCATTTTATTTTTCTGGGATTTCCCTTTGTTTATCTTTATAGCAGTTTTAGTTAACTTTTACGAGTTATGGGTGATTTTGGAATTTGGAGTGACATCGGAAATTTGATGATCCGGGAGGTTCCTTGTCACAGGAATGGAAATTTGAACCTTTGAAAATAGAACCTGTGTGCGCGCGTGCATATGCTCTTGCATGCATCCTCATACTGGCGCGAGCTCATTTGTGTGCTAGCTTTGATGCAATTTTATGAGACGGACGTGTTAGCATCCAACAAAGTAGATTCTTAGAAACTATTAAGAGGATAGCTTTTGCAGTGATATTAAGTAGTGTTATCAGGATTGGAGTAGCCACAAAATCAGTCCAGCCGCCAGCCGCTAGTCGAACCTGGGTTTGCACCCTGAACCACTAGCTAATGCCCTGAACCGTGGGCAGTTCACAACAAAGGAACGAACTATGCTTGAACATGTCTTCTTTTGTTTTTGACGAAGGTTTAACACCTTTTATTACTGAACATTAAAAAAGGGGTTGCCCATGAACATCCGTCTCTCTCGCTCTCACTCATCGTGTGGCTCCATGACAAAGGTTAACACCTTTTAGTACTACTGGATACAGTTACAAAAGGCAGTATCCATAAACCTCTCTCTCGTATTGTGTGCCTTCAGAGGGGATTCATGCCCCAATAATGTCTCGATTACGTACTTGCAATTTTGATCTTGTCAAATTTGCAATTCAATTTTTTTGTGGGTATATAGGTAAGGTAGAGAAAAAACTGACAGTCAATGGTAAACTCTAAATCCCTAGTATGTATTGTGCTACTAAAACAAATAAGAGTCTAATTGGAGGAAAATCGAAGCATTATACAAGTTGGAATTTAGAGGCTTAAGGTAAATATAAATCAGAAATATTTCCACTATAATCACGAATTTGAATAACGAAATCCCTAATAGCCTTCTATCGATCTTATGAAATATTATCAACACTCCCTGGATTGAAATCCAGTTGCTAAAACAACAAACTATGCAAGACAAAAAAAATCCCAAAATTTATATTTTCTTTGAAATCTCGGGACATGAAATTTCTTTGCAACGAAAAAATTACAAAAAGAAAAGAAAATTGATTTTTGTATGGACGTCCACCATGTGATGAAAAAATGCTACAATTTCTCTCTTTTCTATGTGAGAAAATCTTAGAAGTCAATGAGAAGGGATACGCATCCTCCCGCACAAGGCAAGGCGTGTTCTACGCTTACTCCCTTGGTAAAAAAGGGCTATTTTGGGAGGATTTATTTATGAAGATATCTGATAAAGTTGGAACGGTAGAGGATTTTTTCTATCGATAATTTTGGGATCCAACTAATAACATCACTAAATGATTACTTTAAAAATTGGAATGTGTTTTTTAAATTTAGAGTTGAATGTTCAAAAATTGCCATCTTTGTCGGTTTTAGATAGTTACATGTTTTTGACTGATCCAATTTTTTTGTATATCTCTTTGAAATCATAATCCCAAATAACCCTATAAGTCTGTAGAAAGCCCATAAACTTCATGAAGTCAAAAAAAAAAAAGATTAATCCATTGATCTTTTTTATTGTCTAAATTATAACATTTATTTTATTCTTCTCTATTGAGCTCGTGATATAAATGGAATTTGAGATACCTCATTTGACCTACTTATGAGGTTTATGAGATTCAAAGAGGGTCGAGAGAGAGAAAAGTTTATATAGAGCTGAGGCTCTAAACAATCAAATTGGAGCCTACCACAAAAAGTTTACTAGAAGAAGTTGTTTTGATGTTCAAATATGTTCAAGTTGTTCATCTCAACATATATGGACATGAGAAAAAATTGATTTCTAAGTTTTGAAAATAGTGTATTTTGTAGCGCATTTTTTGACTGTAAATTTTCAAGTTTTTATAGATCTTTTGATTCATTATATTTTTTAAGATTTAAATTTTATAAATAAAGATGAAAATATATTTTAAGACTATCACAAAGATTTGCAGTATTGAAATCACATTTCTCGACAATATTTGAACGTGGGCTCTAATTTGATTGTTTAAAACTTAAGGCTCTATACAAACTGCACCCTTGGAAAAATAAAAAGGATGATTGTAATATAGACAATGAAAAATCTAGTAGAAGGGGTCCATGAGTTATACTTATGGACTCGAAGGTTATTTGGGATTATGATTTTAAAGAGGGGGAATACAATTTCTTTCTGTTTTTTTTTTTTTTTAACCCAAAATTTCATAGCCATATTAAACTAATGAAAAGAGGCAAGTCAGAGGTGTTTGCCAATCGTTTAAACAAGTTCGGACCTATCTGTCAGAGTCGAAATACCGGTACTCCTATTGAACTTTGGCCCTAGTCTGGCTTCCTAACGTGTGTCATGCTTTAGAAGAGACAATATTTGAAGAAAAATATTTAAAAAAAATCGTTTAATTTTGATACAGAGAATTCACAGTTACTATTATCCCTCAGATTTCGATTGATGGTTGTAAGAGTAACATTTACTATACTCAACTTTAAAAAAAAATCTTAGCAAATGCATCCCAAACCATTCAATTTAACTAGTAATTATGAACTCGTATCAAAGATAAATAGTTTCATAGTATACAATCCCGCATATGAACTTCTATATTGATGGAAAGCATACATGGACACTAATCCCCTGCCCTGCGCCACCCTGGTGACAATGAACCTGGATCTGACTCGAGACACGAGGGGTAGACCCGACCAAGATCCAAGTATGGGTTGAAGTCGGACCCGTCTGGATCCAGGTCCAAATCTCACACCCGATCACTATTTGAATTCTGGTCGGAGTCCTTTATCTGGATATTTGAGTGAATGTAAAACGACTCTCCCTCTCTCCATTGACGATCTTTTCTTTCCCGGTTGATATTGAAGTGAAGTGAAGTGAGAAGAAAACTCTCTCTCTCTCAATTGATATGATGAGGCTCCTCCCAATAAGCAGGCCTCCATCTCTCTGCGCCCTCACTATTCGCTCCTCTACTTCTGCTTCTGCAACAACTATTCACCATAACCATCTTCATCTCTCTTCCTCCCCTTCTTCTTCTTCTTCTTCCCCTGTGCAAACCATCTCAATTGTCCACCAAATACAACAACAAGAGAACCGGAACCTCCTCCTCCATATCCCACTGGAGAAGCTCTTTGTGCCCCCTGGCATCGAGCTTTCATTGGAGAACCCCATTACCAGAATTCTGAGGGGTTCAAACATTGTATTGAGTCCATACGCGAAGGAGTCGCAGATAAGTGAAGCAGTGTTTGTGAAGAGCAGTAAGGGCACTGAGGATTGCCCCTCTGATGGGTTTCCTGAGTTTGCTTTGGTCGGTCGCTCCAATGTCGGCAAGTCCTCTCTCCTCAACTCTCTTGTTAGGAGGAGAAAGCTGGCTCTCACCTCCAAGAAACCAGGTCTCTCTCTCTCTCTCTCACATCTGTGTTCCTATTGTTTATTTGGATATGGGCACTCTCTCTCTCTCTTCATTCTCTCTCTCTCTCAAAATAGGTTTTGGAGGGCACCTAGTGTTTGATGAAATTCATGAATGACCATTAAACAAAAATAAAAAGAGGTTGTCACGAATATGAAATTAGCCTGAGAAAGGTGTTAACTTCCATGGAACTGTGTACTTCTTTTTTGGATGAAACTTTGATATTTCTACTACACATATTGCCATTTTTTCTTCTATCTGATATCCATTACTAAGAGGATGATCATTTGAGAAATAGAGCAAACCATTAGAAATCTAGTATAATTAGTGTGAACACGGGTGCTCACACTCTATAAACCAGAGTCTTGAGACCATGAGGTTTGGCTGGAATTCGCCAGGGTTCTGAGTCCAAGTTACCCGGTCCTTCTTGGGTGAGTCCGGAGTCAAAATGGGTATTTTAAAGTGAAGAAATGAGTAACTTCTTTAAAAAATCGTTGACTTGGGCTGAGTCCCGAGGTCTTCCAAGCTGAGGTCAGCAATGTTTTAAGCATTGTTAGGCACACGTGTTCTATGATGGTTATTGTTGCCAATCTTACCTACCATCCCAACATTGTTACCCTAAAGATGGATCATTGATGCTTTTGGTGTTTTCTGATATGATCTCCAAAATTAGAAGATGGGAACTTTGTAATTTGTTATACTGTGTTTGTGTAAAGAAATCATCATTATCATCTAAGCCTTCTCTTAACTATTTGGCGTTGGCTACATAAATGTTGTTCCGTCACTTTGCTCTAGCAACAGTCATACATGCAGTCAAACCAATTTACAAATTATATAGAAAGTTCATGTATGAATTTCGATTTCAAAGGGGATTCGAAGTCTAGAATTTTAGTTTGCAACTTGATGACTTCTATTTTATTTAGTTATTTGAAAGGATTGTATGTTGTGAGACCGTTATACTTTCAATACAAGAAGCTCATAGTAGCCTTAGCCATCAGATGTGAAATTTATAGGCTGGAGTTGTATCATTTCTTCACACAAAGTTCGAGAAAATTTTTCTTGAACTTTGAGCATGGCCAGTCGCACAACTCTGGTTTCCCCATTTCATATCTGACGGCTAGAGTGAATGTGACCTTTTTGAACCAAAGGTAAAAAATCTTAAAGAGTTTACTTTCCCTTTTTTGAATTCATTAATTGATTTCTTATTGAAAAATTGATTTCATTTGGCCTAAGTTTCTGAATTTCTTCTCATATGGGTTCAATTTATGCTTTTCAGGGAAGACACAATCTATAAACCATTTTCTAATAAACAATAGTTGGTACCTGGTAGATTTGCCTGGATATGGGTAAGAAATGTCTAAGAATCCACATTTTAATGAAACTTTAGTTTCTTCTTCATTTGTCAATTCTAACTCATACTTGTAGTTATTGTCAAACAGGTATGCAACTGCACCTCAAACAGTTAGAACAGATTGGGATGACTTCACAAAGGACTATTTCCTCAATAGAAAGACATTGGTTTCAGTTTTCCTCCTAATTGATGCTAGCATCCCTGCCAAAAAGATAGATATTGAATATGCAACTTGGCTCACCCAGCAACAGGTATTTAGTTGAAAGGGCGAGATTCTATGTGTCTCTACGCACATATGATTCATATGCAACGGGATATTTTTGTCTTTCAATCTTGATGGGTCGTTTGGAGTAATATGACGTTACACATTAATTGTGGCTTAACAAACATAATTATTCTTAATTTATGACATCATTCTCAGCGCATTCCTAGTCGTCTAATCAAGATTGGACAAATGTGGGTCTCCAGACAAAGAAATTATGTGCCGATAGACATTAAAAGGTTTAAAATACTTGAATGCAACAACTATCTAGCTCATTTTTTTCGAATCTTTGACCATTTATTGGCTGCCATGTTTATCAAGGGACAACACAAAAAACCACCCAATTTTGAGTCAGGAACGTACGTAATATGACTTTCATCTTTGGTAGAAAGAGGTCATAATCACCAGTAACCATTAGATGTGAAATCTGTCTAGCAAGGGGTGTGAAACTGACCAACTTCAACATCAACAAATAAAATTTTATATTTGATAAGATAGATTAGTGTGACGCCCCAATGTGTCCCTACAATTTTTTGTACAATATGTATACACTCGTCACATTTTTTTTTTATCACTTTGGCCCATAAGATTCTGGAGTAGTCTAGGTGCATCATGAGAAGTCTAGAGGGCCTCTAGATTCAACCTAAAAAAGAATTAGAAAGGAATGCTCTAGAACATTGTATACTACATTATTCCTAATCGTTCGATTAGTGACACTTGTACATAATCTTGACCGTCTATTGTAAGGCCAAGTGCCTATATAAGGAGGAGGGCTCCTCATTTGAGAGGCACCGCATAAAGTTCTAAGCATTCGAGTATTATAGTGAATACCAAACTCTTCCTACTCAATCTTGCGTCCCTCTCTCTTTGAGTGTACGGTGGTTCCTATTGTGTGTGATGCATTCTAGTAGTTGATCGCTATAGTGTCCAGTCAATGGCGCTGTGTGGGTGGCATGCACTAGTGTAAGACTCATCCTCAAAAAGGTTGAGTGCATGAGTGCCGCACGGTCGAGGTGCGGGGCTTCACTAAGATTGCAACACTAAGCTCTTGGATTTCACATATGATAGCTAGGGTCATCGATACAATTACTTTTAAGACTCAATATGAATGAGTAACACTTGATAACTTAACTGTCTAAAGCGGTGTGGATTGGTTAGTGAATGAAGAAGTTCAATGAGAGATGTTATTGTTTTGTGGACCTTTGCAGTAACTAGTCATTTGATACAAGCTCCATGTTTCTCACCCACCCATTCAAACTTGGTTTTTGAGAATTAGCAGCATTTTGTTGTTTCGCAAACATTCAACCCCTTAGAAATAGACAAGTTTGTCACAAAAATGAGGTGGTTCGAAAACTTAAAATCATTTTGTATAGGCCGCAGCTAGTCCATGTAGAGTGAAGCTCTTTTTTTTTTTTAATTATCAAATGCATAGGCAAGCATTGATCTTTTATGTTTTGGGAATGCTCCAGATTCCAATGACATTGATATTCACCAAATGTGATAAGCGCAAAAAGCAGAAGAATGGTGGAAAAAGAGCGGAAGAGAATGTCGAGGATTTCCATGTAATGATGCACGAGTATTTCCAAGAGGCTCCTCCGTGGATCATGACGAGCAGCGTCACCAACCAAGGACGGGATGAGATACTCCTGCACATTGCTCAGCTTAGAAACTACTGGCTCAAGCACTAGTAGTTTTCCTTGCATATTTTACATTCCTCACTCAAGCCTTTGTATCTTTCCATTTCTTTAGATGCGTACAGTTATGTCTTTGTGAAATCAGTCTTTCCTCCTCCTTCGCGATTTTTCTTGTTAATTAGCTGATTTTTTTTTTAGCAATACTGAGCTTAGGGACACGCTCCATGATTTTGCAAAGGATGGAGTGATAAGAGCATGAAGCAGAGCTTAAAGATAATATAAAACCAAATATTGGATTTGGAACACTTACTTTCCACTTTTAAGTAATTTGAGAAATGATAAGGCAAGGAAAGGTCATGAAAACATTTTAGAAACGCAAAGGCCAACAGTGCAATTCTTAATTATATCCTGAATTTTTTAGTTTTGACATGGCTAGCACAAAGAGCACTTCAAGAGCCATTTTTACTCGATCTAAGTTGCTTTGTTCAATGTGCTAACTACAATGATAATCTAAGGAGAATGTGAATATGTTGAGCTAGCACATAGAGAGCATCACAAGCTCCCCTCTCCCTCTGACTCTACCAATTTTAGTCCTCCAATGTCATCATGAGCATAATTTATGAATTTCCCAAAACAGCAAACCCTATTGTATCATGTATTTAATCATCATGCAAAAGAAATGAAATTTTATTACATAAGGTCCTCATGAAGAGGAATGAGCCCAAGGAGGGGAAGAGAGAGAGAGCAAGTCACCAATCAAACACAGGTAGCTTTTGATTACATGCAAACATAATAATGCCTGGAATTGCAATTATATAAAGTCAATAAACATATTAGGGAAAAGTTTATATAAGGTTGCAACTTTAAAGGTAGAATTACAGATGCACCTCAAAAATCTAATCTATTGGAAATGTTGTTTTAATGTTAAAAAAACCCTTTAATCGATCATCGGGATGTATGAATATGAAAAAAAAAGTTTTTTAGTCCAGAAAATAGTGCATCTTGGAACACATTATCTAGATCGTCCATTTTCAAGATTTTCATTTATTTATAGATCTACTTGATTTTAACCATTTTTGGAATTAAAAATTGTCTAATTAGGTATGAAAATAGATTTTAAGATAATAAGTATTTTTTACAACAAAATTACATGTTATAATAAAATTTTAAGGTGCACCTTAATTGGATTGTTTAAGGTTGCAATCTTATAGAAATCGCACCCAACATATTCACATTAATAACAATTTATATACAATCCAATCTACAACAATGTGCCTTTAGCTTCATTGCTATTGGTGAATACCGCGAATTTGTTGCGGCCCAATAATTGTAAAATGATACACATTATGATTTTGAGGATTATAAGTTGTGTTAATCTCAATAAAAATGGGGGATCTCAGAAGCAGCCTGAGCAGCCCAATTGACTAGAGAGCTAAAGAAGAGCTCCCAAAACCACAGATCGATTGCCAGAACAGAAGAGAAGATCAGCAAAGCCAGGGTTTGGTACCGGTTAAGTGGCCATCCCGATATCTCAGCCAAAGCTTTCAGAAATGGAAGAGATTGATTCTTGCTTTGAACGTCTTGGTTCCCTATAGACCAGGCAGTTATCCAAGAGACATGAGAAGGGGCAAGATCGAAATCTTCTCGCAATCGCCTGCCCATATCAGGCATGTGACCACCTCCATACAACACCGCTATTTTTTGGCAGCCATCATCGATTGCTCTCTGTAATGCCTCCAATGCTACTCTGTTTCTGTCTCCGATTATAACTGATTTCTCTTCAACTTCAGCAGTTGCCTGAGTGAATCTTCAAAACATTTCTATCTGGATCACTCTCAGAACAAAAGAACATTTTGTGTGTGCTACAGAGAAAGGAGAAGGGGAGGGAGGGGGTAGCAGGCTTGGTATATGAGTGAGAGAGAGAGAGAGAGAGAGAGAGAGAGAGAGGTACGTCTACTAGTATACTACTAACTAAAGTAAATAAGTAAGTGTTACGTAGTAGTAGTGTGTCGTCGTTCGTTACGTTACGTACTACAACG